GGGGACGTCGGGGGTCTGTTAGAATATTGATGTCTTGTTAGAAAGGACCCGTCATCAGGGATTTGTCAACCTATGGACAGCATCCAAGTTAATATATCAAAAATACACAAAACAGCCCCCCCCCGGTCTGAACTGTTATGGTGCATCACTGCAAGTGCATTAGGGAACATTTTGTCACGTAAACCTACTCATTTTGAATGGGCCGCCATTCCACCCCAGCACAGGCAAAGTTATCAAGGCTTATTAAACTCCTTGTGGGGCGTTAATGCATATTAGCATGATTTGCTTTAATGCAACCCATTAAAAATGAATGGGCATCAAATTATCTGAATGTGCTTAAAACACCCATCAACTGCAGGGAATGTATCGGCGATTCCATATTTCATGGCTACTTGTCATTGTGCTGGAATTTCTGGTGGCTTTTTTATGCTGCGTGTGACCTTATAATATGATGGGGCTACTTCTGGTTTATAGAAAAACCATATTGGGAATCTTCTGTTTTTCCTGGTAATTGGCATGATACTTTTTTAATCTTATAATGCAGAAAAAAAACTTTAGAGAATGTCAGGGCTGCAACTAATGAATATTTTCATAATTGATTAGTTGGCCAATTTTAAAATCTTTTTTTGCTCGGATAAAAAAAAAATTAAATAAATCCCATCCTTTAAAATACACAAATGCAGTGTTGCAAACATAAGTTTACTTCAGAATTAACTGCATGCAATTACACTGTAATGGAACGCACATCGTTGTGGTACCGTGTGGTCCAATGCAGGGGATCACACTGTGGGTGGGAGGCGCATTTGGGGTCCATTGAAATTAATGGCACTCCAACGCACCTCCCCCAGCAGAATTTGTCAGGCCGAAACAGAAAATGATTTTTTTCCCTCACTTTTTTTTTTTTTTTTAAATAATTGTATTGTAAGCACATGGAGCTTGAATAGCTTCAGCCCGGGTATGACCGCTGCCAGTCACAAGATTCTGCAGATGGCAGTCGAATGTAAATACAGCAGGTAGTGGGTTGGTGCAATAGCCAGCCTGTGCCCTCCTCCCAGCGTGGTGGAGAGAGCTAGGGGATATGACTAGTTTGGGGAGGAAACCTTTCTGCTTCCTATCTGCATGGATTTTACCAGATGGTCTAAGACTTTGAGTTTTCATTTAATTAAAATAATGGAGAATTAAACTTTTGGTATTGAGACTTACCTTGCTGCAGCAGAAGATGTGAGCTGTGTGTGTACGGTCATGCAAGGTGGAGTGACCATACTGGAACTCCAGAGTAGAGCTGCAGCTCCCATATTCCCCTATTCTATATTCCAGCTCGCTCTTCCAGTCTTTGCTGGGAAGCAATTTTATGTCCTGGCAGGCCTTGCATAAAATACTTTTTCAGTATTCCATGACAACTAGTAGTTATTATTGGACACTTCGGGCTACTTTCTTGCTTTGCTCTTTGCTCTCCGTTATTGAAGAGTGCTTTTTAGTGATGATGGTGCAAATTTCATGTTTGCATATAAGTTTTTTTTTTTCTTTTCTCATTATACATAAGATTAGCAATGTTTTACCACACTACTGTAGAGTGCTGTACGAATTCATGGCATTCTAGGTGTGTGTGGAAGTCTGGACTTTTTGACCAGGCTTATTTTGTGTTGCATGAATGACATACATGTGTTACATTTTAGTTTGTAATAGTGAAGTATGGCTTGAAATCTTATATTCACCACAGACTGTATTAAAAAGCTTTGCCCCCATGTCTGAAGTGACTGCTTGCTGTTTAGAGAGAACGTTTAGATCTCGATAGGAATTTTTAACTGAAGCTAGACTGCCCGCCAGCAGCAACATCCAAGCACAGAATTAGATGTGGAAACCCATTGAGGGGCAACATGTGTTGTAGTGGTAAAGATCTTTCTTCAGTGCTGTAGGGCTGGCATCACATTCACTGTTTTGTGGAATGTGAATGACATTTCCAACTGAATGATTGTAAAATATGCGGCTGCAGAACTGGCTTCCCAAGAACCGACATCTGCAGGTGTCTGCATTGTGCAGATCAGAGCGTAGAGGATGGCTGTCATAGAAAATAGTTTATGTATTGCAAGCATTAAATGACGGTTTTTCAGTTAACTATTTCATCCAGATTGGTTTGTAAATTCCGAACAGTATAAACAAGATTTCAGACCTTTCATCAGAGTGAACTAAAGATGCTACTGCATTAGTTTTTCCCAGTGCTGGAAAAAAAACAGACTTAAACACAGGAACACAAATGTTCTAGATGTGATGGCTCCATTAGTTTTCTTTTTCCTTTTATTTTTACCTAGGAATACTGCAAGTAATACACTTCCTGTCCGATGGTGACAATACTCGCTGTATAGTATGTATGGAGGAGCAGTGTTGTCACCCTAGAACATAGTGTTAGGACTGCAGAACACTTCTATCTTCAGCTTCATAAGATGTCGGAAGGTGTTCTGTAGTTCAAAAAGGGGGCAGGGAAATCCATATGGAAATCAAGAGCCAGTCTGTTCTATCCAGGAGCCAACAGAATTTCTTTTGGAAGCCAGCTCCATCGACGACAATTAGAGAAAACCTCAAAGGTTAGGCATCAGCTGTAAATTTTAAGGAGCATAGGTTACCTGGACCCTGGAATTTGCCCCACACTGCCTTTAAAGAATTGGACTGACAACATTCTTTAGGATTTTAGTGCAGCAGAGAGTATAGGAGACTTTGAACTCACTAGATCTTGGCAAGAAAAATGTAACAAAGCACTTTGAGTGGTATATTTTACAAAGCAAATATAAGAAGGTTTATTTACACCTTTTAAATTATTTCTGTATAAGTTATAATAGTCCATTCAGCACCATGAATAAGGATCCCCAAGCATGCCTGAAATTGCAGTCAGTGAACATCTGTGACACGGGAGCAGCTTTTTCATTAAAGTGATATTAAAGCCAATTGTTTTTTCATTTCTCCTTTAAGGAGACCCTCCTTTGCTGGAGGCTGTTGTTTTTTTTTGTTTTTTTTTTAAAGTAGTACTTTCCTCTTTTTCTAGTGGGTCCCCACAAAGGCTCTTCCCCCCCGCCCTCTGCACGGGTGCCACCATCGTTCTAATGGAGGCACCTGTGCGCACTCGTCCCCGCAGCGGCTGGGTGCGTCCATAGACACACACAGCCCTGTGGCAGGCCACGTCCCTTCCTTCTTTGATTGATGGCAACCCGGAGGTTCGGGGTACTGAGGATCGCTTCAGGAGCGGCGGCGGGGACCAGCGCAGCTGAGAGGTAAGTGTGGGGGAGACTGGGGTAAAAAAAGAGAATGCATTAAGGTAAACGCCCAGACCTTTTTACTACTTTAATACCTGAATCGATAGCCTTTCTTGGCATTTTTGCAGTGCTATTCTATTCCCCATACTGTTTGTATCTATCCCTAAAATAGACACAAAATGGTCAGGTAATCAGATCATTGCTAGAACCAGGAAAACAAACCCAAGGTGATCGGATCATTGTTAGGACCAGGAAAATTCACCCAAGGTGATCGGATCATTGCTAGAACCAGGAAAATTCACCCAAGGTGATCGGACCATTGCTAGAACCAGGAAAATTCACCCAAGGTAATCAGATCATTGCTAGAACCAGGAAAATTCACCCAAGGTGATCGGATCATTGCTAGAACCAGGAAAATTCACCCAAGGTGATCGGATCATTGCTAGAACCAGGAAAATTCACCCATGGTGATCGGATCATTGCTAGAACCAGGAAAATTCACCCAAGGTGATTGGATCATTGCTAGAACCTGGAAAATTCACCCAAGGTGATCGGATCATTGCTAGAACCAGGATCACCCAAGATTCTTCCCCTGATATTGTCCAGCTTAGGGTGTCTGTACATCAGACAAAAAGTTTTCTTTAGCTCTTGGCGCTAATGGCTGCCAGCTGAACAATCCACTTGCTGTTGCACACTCAAAGTTTTTTCAACAGTTTATCACAGTTTTTTACAACAACTTGAGGGGGTGCTCATCCAAGGCTCTGGTTCTTCCACCACGAATATAGAAAACAAAAGGCACAGAGCACAAGCCCCCTTCCTCAGAATCATGATTCTGATTCTTGATTCTGAGGAAGGGGGCTTGCCCCTGAAACGCATCAATCTTGGCTGACTGCGGTCGGTGGACGGTGATGTGACTGGAGACTACCGTGTTACATGGTCGGGGATATACCATGTTGGGTTAACAGACAGTGTGGCCTCTCATTTGTTGTTAAAGCCTGATGAAAACGTTTGTTTGTGAGTACTTTTATCCCTTGTTTTATTTATTGTAATAAACCATTTTACACACGGAGGTGGCTCTCTGTTCCCTTTTGTTTTCTAGGGTGTCTGTACAGTTCGAGGCAAAACAGACACAATGATATCCGTGTCTGGATTAGTGGAGGATCATCTTGTGTCTGTGGATACCTTTTTAGTGTTATATTTTAAAGGTGGTTTCTAAAGTTTTTACCTAACAACTCGTTTCCATCTGTCTGTGTCACCAGTGAACACTACTGTGCTGCTGCTTATGCTTCATGTTAAATGTTGAATCCTATGTGCATTGTTATTTGGGCTCTTTTTACAGAACCACAAGTAAAGATGTACTATAATATCTGGGCCTGTAAAATCGTAACATAAAAAAAAATCTCAAGTTTTGTGCATATAGACTCCTTCTGTAGTCAGGATAATGCAAAATCTGGTACCCATATAGTATTCTAAAGTGAATTGGCCACTCCCACCTCCCTTAGGATCCCATAATTGGTGGCAGGGAACATGGCCAAAGAGCAGAAGTGTGACTGCAGTATAAGTTATCACATTTCATTTTCTGAAGTCCATTCTCATCTCATGAGCCAAAATATTTCTCAAGGTTGTTGTCTAGTGATGGATGTTTTTATGTAGGGTATTAACTTTTTCCTTTTCTATGTTGTCTGTAATATGCTACTTAATTTTCATGAAGTATTAGCTTCCTAAATACCTAATTGATTTTTTTCCATTTTATAGGTCAGTAACAGATCCACGGGATGGAAAGAGAGTTGCTCTCAAAAAGATGCCCAACGTCTTCCAGAATCTAGTCTCTTGCAAAAGGGTCTTCCGAGAATTGAAGATGTTGTGTTTTTTTAAGCATGACAACGTAAGTAAACATGTCACTCTGGGCACTGTGCGTGCTAGATATATCGACAGCGATTTTTATTTGTTCGAAAACAGCCGTTTCCAGCCACTGGGACTACGGTCATACGCGTTACTTATGGGCATATAAAAAGAATTGCAGTGTAACGTTCTTCTACATTCAAAATAGCTGGTGGAAATGAATTGCAATGCATCATGATTCTAAAGGTCTTTGAATCCCTCTGTCCACCCTTCCACCTAAGATTTTCTTTTCTGCATATTTGCACCTGTTAGGGCAGACCTACAAGTGAGAGCCAGGCCTGAATATTTTCATTTGTGCCAGCTACCACAATGCAAGTGTCTGATTAGAAGTCTGCTCTATTTTATGTACAATGTAATGTGGTATAGGTGCGATTCATCAAAATATAAGCTTTTTTTTAAAAAATATCCTTCGCCCATCAGGACAAATGAAGGTCTTCTTCACAGGGGCAATTCCTGATATGGACGTTTCTAAACTCGTGTAATGTTTTTTATAGAGCTGCAGCTAACGATTATTTTCAAAATCGATTAGTTAGCCGATTATTAAGTTCGATTAATCGGATAAACAATAAAAAAAAAAAAATGGCTCCAGTGATGGGACTACTAGTTTGTATTGCGATTGTAGTCCATCACAGGAGCAAGCTCGGAGCGGTGGAAGAAAATAGTGTGGTGTGCAATATAGTGAAAAGGAAAGTGTAAAATTATACAGCAATGAATGCAGAATTGCACCGGCTATAGAGGACTACAAATCCCAGCAATAGTACATTATAGCTGGTGGTATTCTGCATTGCGCTGTATAATGTACTATTGCTGGGATTTGTAGTCCTCTATACAGTGCAGTGCAGAATATCACCAGCTATAGAGGAATACAACAAATCCCAGCAATACATTATACATACAGCGTACAATGTATTGCTGGATGTGTATTCCTATGTATAATGTACAGTACAATGTACCATAAGCTATAGAGAAATACAAATCCCAGCAATACATTATAGAGCACCATGTGGGGGGAAATGCGGGTCTGGCAGCGGCGAGCGTGAGGTGGGGAAGAGGTGCGGCGCGCAGCGTGTGTGGAGCCGTGAACAGGGCCAACTGATCGGAAGCCGATTAATCGATTATTGAAAAAGTTGACAACTTTTTCAATAATCGATTATAATCGATTATGTCGATTAGTTGTTGCAGCCCTAGTTTTTTAATTGTAAAATGCACACTGTTTACCTGTGTAAAGGTGCATTCAGTTTAAAGAACCGTAGGTAAAATGTTTAGTAACCCTTGCAATCGGGCTACCAACTTTAAATACTGGTTTTCGCCTAGGTTTAAAAATAAAAAAGTTATACTCGCCTGATCCACCAAGCTGGTTGGCTGTGATGGCGTTACCTCCATCCTGTCTCCTGTACTGCAGCAATAGTATGTTACTTGGCGTCCTCACTTCCTATACACTGTGTGTAGGACGTGATGACTCAGGAACTTAGACTGCTACAGCGGAGGGGGAACGAGACGCCAGGGACTGGTCTAAGAGCATGCCGTCTCGGAGAATCGGGTGAATATAACTTTATTTTTAAACCTAGACAAAACGAGCGCTTAACTCTTGCAGTGTGGGGGTATCCTGACTGCAAGGGGTTAATAACAAAAAATTTTACCCAGAGTTCTGTTTTTATTGCGTTAAGGAAAAACAGAAATCTGTGTCCAGCAGTAAATTAAATACTCTTAATGCAAATATACAGATGTAAACACATGTACATGGGAGTTTGAAGTAGGTTTGTATAGAACATCTAAACTAGGGATGCAACGATACCATTATTGGTATCAGTGCCGATACTAGGTATTTTCACAAGTACTCGTGAAAATGCCCCGAAATGAAGGGCTGATACTGGCGCTTTAAATTTTCAAACACAGGTGGCTGCCATAAGGTCCTGCCCTTGCTGGGGACCTCAGGGCAGCCTTGTGAGCACCTTCCTGGTGCTGCTTACAACACTGGTCAGGCCACACTTCACTTCCTTCCTCCTACCGCCGCCCGCATCAGCCTGCACCCGCGTGACGCAGCACAGCCCAGGTGGAGAGGCCACAGAGCCCTGGTGACACTCCACACACAGTCCTGGAGACCTGGTGCACACAGTCCTGGTGAGCAAGATAGAGTATGTAGCTTCATAATAATCTGCATTGCTGTATAATGCATTGCTGGGATTTGTAGCCCTCTATAGCTGGTGATATTCTGCAGTGTTGTATAAGGTACTGCTGGGATTTGTAGTCCTCTAGTCGATGCCATTCTGCAATACTATATAATGCTGAGATTTGTAGTCCATCTACAGCTTGGAGTCAGTGGCAGAACTACAAGTGTCGCAGCGGCCGTAGCTGTGACTTGGCCCTGGCGCTTCACCACTGACCTAAAATCATTAGTCTGTATTGTGTTATAAAAACTGTCACATGACACTAAACAAAAAGTTATCTTATTGCTATCGGCGAGTACTTGAGGAAAAGTATCGGTACTTGTACTCGGTCTGGAAAAAAATGTCATCGGTGCATCCCTAGCCTAATCACATGTAAACTGTTCTGTAAACATATGTACATGCAAAACAAACACTGCTCTGTTTTTACAATAAGGTGAGCAGTGCAGCTTTTAGTTTTTTGGGGTTTTTCGTGTGTACTTTAGTCCTTTAAGAAAAGTCCCTATAAATCTTGAGAACTACTAGGCCAATGTTGGAAAATAACCTCACTCCAGTTGCCAGCAGCAAAAAGTTTGGCTGACTAGCATGTTCCTATTGCAGTGGAAATTCCCTTTGATTTTCATTGTTTTCCGGCTGTAAATCTGGGTAATAAACAATTACTCTACAATTGGACATTTTGTACTTCTTGTCAGTCACCTTATTCCTAGAACTTGGATGTTGCCTCATCAGTTCTGTAGTATTTTATGCTACAATGGAGTACACAGTATGCTTGTCTATATTTGCTAATAAAAATGTGTTTTCCTTTGTGGTTTGATCTCTTGGCAACCTTCTCTAAAATCAAAACTTTCCATCACAGACACAAAACTGCTTCAGTGATAATACATTGCTGAGAGACATCAAAAGAAGGGTCACTCCAACCAAAATGAACTTCTTGGCTTTGATTGGAATTGATAGCAGGGTTTACTTGTACTGCTGTTCAGAAGTTTCTTTGATGTTGTCACTAACATAAATAACATCTCCATAGCACATATTTCTGGTGTCTTGCCCACCAAAATTGGGATTGAACCCTGCCACACTCCACCCATATGGAGAAAGTCATTTGTTCCAGTTTGGTTTTTAATATCATCCGTGTACTGTCTGGAACACAATGCATACACAGATGTCATTTTGACTGCATTATCTCAGAACATGAGTGTCGGTGGGTTCTTGCAAATCTTTTTTTTCTTTCTTACTAGTATTCTTTATTTACATTACATATTGTGTGGGCTTATCCTGGAAGTCAGGAAAACACAGCCCTCACAATGTATTCTGTTGCGCTCATTTTTTATTCATTTGTTTTCAGTTCTGCTCAGTCTCCTGATTCCTGTTTTCCCATCTACAAGGTTCCCAGGCTCGCAGTGTCTGTTTGCTTTGTATTATTGACTAGCAGCAGCTGGGCTTTGATTTGCATAGAAACTGTTACATTAACACTTCAGCATCTATAATTTGTATGAGTACGAACTAAAATACTCTGACTCCACAGACTTAAATATTGATGACTTAAAATAGGTTATTATAGCGCGCAATCACACGTTATTGGTGAGAAGCTTTCAAAGGATTATGAAGTGCTACAGCTGTTTTTTCCTTCCTTTTTGTATTGTGGTACTTAAGTCTTGTCACTACTGCTGTTAAGCTGGAAAACCTTGCACCATATAGGCCATTTTCTAAGTTTAAACATTGATTAAAGGCATAGACAGCTTTTTCCAAAAAATAATGAATGCACCCACATTAAAGAAAAAGTTCATTTATTTGGCATTTGAGACGGCAAAGCATTGCAACCGCGACCACTGGATCCCATGTGCAGTTCTCTGGCTCCTGCAGACACTTCTTCTTCTAGTCCCTGTCCATACCAAGGTATGGCCCTTTTTTGTTAAGGGACAGGAGGAAGTATGAATGGATTATAAGCGTGGTGATGTGTACTCCATTGAGAACTGCGGCGGCAAGCGTAACTTGCAGTCTCTCCATTCACAGATGCTGTAAATGGATATTTGAATGGATGATGTGTCTGTGTAGGGAGAACAAAAAGGAGCCTGCGGGGAGAAGAACCCTGCAATTCAGGAAAGTGGAGGGGCGGTTTGGGGATGTAACCATCATGTTAACCCCGATAGGTTGGAAAAGAAAACTTCACCTTAACGAGTGGTGTGTGTGTCAAGTAACAATCCTTCACACACAAAACTCACCAGTTAGTAGATGAGCCATTCCTTATTTCCATTGGTTCACAGTTTGTTTGGAAGCTCTAAAAATTGAATGGAATTCTAAGCTGTTATCTGTGCTTCCTACTATCCAGTTCTTTCCTTTTTTATATCTAGTTGTTTCTCCATTTAGTATGCTCATACATGTGATACTAGCTCATTGCTCTGTAATCAGCAGAGAACAGTATATATTTCAACCCATGTTTTTTCCCCCTAATGTTTATATGTTGAAGACCAAGCAAAGGATAAGCTTTGTTTACTGCAGCCAATCAGAGAAATATAAATAATTGGCTATTGTGGGTTTCTGCATTAAACACCAGGGGGGAAAAATAGTGGGTCCCCTTCCCCACTGCAAGGGTTAACTTAACTCTTCCTTTTTCATGCTATAACTAAGGCCCGATAGCTTTCATTGGAGGAATGGACAGGGAAAGGGGTGGGCACAACTGGTTCTGGCTCTAGAGAGGCAGAGCCAGCTGTCACTAAGGCCCCATTCACACCTATGCGTATTGTAATATGCGCGTCTGTTGCGCGGTTTTTTAACCGCGATTCACGGTAAAAAAGTTGCGCGATTCCGAAAGCTACTTGGC